ATCATTATCATTGTTATCATTAGTATTATCATTATTGATACCAATATCATAATAATTTTTACTATTATTATTATTATCATTATCATTGTCACCTTTATCCTTACCAATATCATTATTAACACATTCATTATCATTATCATTGTTATTATCATTATTATTATCATAAATTATTGCTATCATTATCATTATTGTATGACTATCGTAATCATTATTGTTATCACAACCTTTATGATCATTATTGTTAATTACTATTATTATTATTGTTGTTATTATCGTTATCATTATTGTTACTATTATTATTGTTGTTATCATTATTATTACTATTATCGTTACTATTATCATTATTATCCTTATAATTATTTGCTGTTATTATTATTGTTGCTGTTGCTTTTATCATTAATATTATCATTATTATCCTTATCATCATCATTAACATCTATTTATCATGATTTTTGTTAGGTCTGCTCTCATCACTATCATGATTACTACTGTTATCATTATTCTCACTATTATTATCAGCAGCATTGTTATTCGTGTTATCATCATGATCCTAGTTAATACTATTATTATCAATATCATTATTTCTAGTACGATTGTTATTATTATTATAACTGTTACCATTATTGTTGTTGTTATTACCATTATCATCATTATGCATTATCATTATTATTGTTGTTATTATTATCATCATTATTATTGTTATTATCATTACTACTGTTATCAACATTATTTTGCAGTTTTACATACTTGTTATTACTAATGAATTTCACTTTTTTGGAAAATATCTACACTGAAGTATTCAATATTCAAAAGTGTAAACAAAGGAACAACAATAATTTAGGCCTTCAGTAAAAAAAAAAAAAAAAAAAAAAGTAAATAAACAACTAAATAAATGTGTTTGTTATATGTCCGTGCATGTGAATATATGTGTATGCATTAATATGACTTATACTTTTGCCTTTCAGTGTCAGGCATAAACTACGGATGAATTTTTTAGCCACTCTCTGTTTCTGTCCCACACAAATTCCACAATGGCAATGGGTCAGACCTATCTGAGCCAGTCCACATACAACGGAGTAGAGGCTGCACATGTGTTCGCACTGATGAAATAATAAACCTTGTATTGATTGTGAAAACCTGCTAAGCTGAGACAATTTAAATCAAAGGAGCTTTCTGTATCAGCGGATGAATCCTGGAATGGTATCAGAACATGTTTCCTATTCTCACGGTATGATTTTTTTAGTTAATTTCACAGGGAGGGGGGGAGGCTAGCTGGAGGTAACAGCAACTCGCAAACCTTCATCCAACTCTGTTTATGGCTGCATTTTATCTGCATCGCAATTCATAAATCTGACATTATTTACCTGCTTTAAAACTAATGCTTTCTGTGTTGTATAAGAGTGCAATTTCAAAGCTGGAAAATGTATTAGGTTATTGCATCTGATTGCAAAGAAAAATTGCTTCGTACTTGGGATTGGCAACATGCCCAATTCTTCATTTACAAGTGCCTATTCCTAATTTCTTCAAAATAAATGCGCAGCGTATTGATATTACTGCACTTGCAAATAAATGAGGGATTATTATTAGACCCCATCCACCTTTTTCCCACCGACTAACAATCAGCTAACTGAAGTTTACTTTAACTATTCAGATCAAATTCCAAATCAATTGTGTTCTCTTTATATAATAGTTGAAATATGCACAACTAACTGGACTCTGTAATCAGTCGTCAAAAATGGACCGAGTTTTAAAGTTCCACCACATTCAGCCAGGAAAAATTATTGTACTCTCCATTTAGACACGAGAATCAATTATACATATTTGATGACATTCAAAATGGAAAATGGTCCATCATGCAGTCCACAATCCTAACACGTTTTTACTAATCACAGAGGAAAATCGCCCACCAGCTACATTCGTAAACACACGAAGAACTAGCAGCGATTAAAAAAAAAAAGATCGACGTCATTTGACAACCTCTAACAACGGAAAGATACAAGAAATATAGCCAGGAAATATAGAATTCAAATGTCAAAAAAACTAAAGGGACAAGAAAAAGCCGATCTTTGTTCAATGCGGAAACACGCATCGCAATAGTAAATTTCTTTACATCCGCCAACAGCTGCATTTTCACGATTAACTATTTTATTTCTTAATGAACGTTATACAAGTACCTAAAGCTTATACGCAAATATGATTGAAGGAGATATAATGAAACCGTATTGTATGTTAGCGTATGTAGTCAGCGCGGAAATGGAAAGAAAGAAAAAACAAAAGGGAACTGGGAAGTAAAACACTCATAAGACGAAAATTACAATCTAATGCAGCTCTGTGTTCCTGGATCTATAATCACCGCAGATGAGTTTTATCTATCATTATATTATCCTACACGTTATTATTTTTAACTTTGTTGTGGAAATTTTCTCTTTAAAATGCCCGCGAAAATGTCACTGTTTTCCTTGTCTCCCTTGCATCCGAAGCGCATTGTGACTTTGGCTTCAATCTTACAAAGGAATTCTAAATTTAAATTCCGGCGTTATAGTTAACTCACAGAAGAATCCAATTATAAAGACACATATACTAGAATATCAGCATACAAGAGACAATAATCTGTAACGTATATAAAGTATACTAAACATAGACTTTTTACCGACACAGTTCAAACGAAAACACACAAACAATCAGTGAGTACAAATTCCTTCAACAAATTGCAAATTACAAAAAATGCACCAATAAGCAAGTGTTATACATCGAGAAGATACCAGAGGTGAGCTTTAAGATATGTTTTCAAGATATCTGTAGAAAATATACTTGAAAAATCGTAAAAAGAGTAAGAAGAAGCAGTGAAGAAGTTTTGTTATTTTTACGCACTTTCTCCATGTGATTTCCCTGTTGTTATTTGGTATATTATTTATTCGAATCTGTTGTTATGGCTCCCGTGGTCTTACAAGTAATATATTAGTTTCGTATCGTGTTAGGTTTGGTCTGGAATTATTTTCGTTTTAATCCTGTTCCGCCCGTGTATAAAGTGAAAGGAAAAACAAATAGGAAAACTAGTAAGAAAAAAAGGTTTCGTCAATGACACAGTAATTATCACGTGTAAATAGAAACGTGGCATGGCCTGTACCTGTTAAGGATTAATTTCTTATCTGTACTCTTGACTTCACGACAGGAGATAAAGGGGGAAAAAGTGCAGTCTTGATCTGGCAAGATTTGTTGTGATACTTGGCTTTCACTTTCAGAGTTGTGACAGTGTGAAGCAAAGTGATCATCCAAGACCAGATGTAGAGAAAAACTAATGCAGTAAAGGAGGTAAATCCCCCATACAGAATACAATTGCATAGCCAAATAATGTAATTTGGTAAGCCTACCAGTTGATCCCTTTCTGACCTTATTATTATATTGGCCTAATTAGAAGTTACTGCATTGAAGAAGAGGTCATGGTGGGATAAGTACTCAAACATCCTTGGTAATTTTACTCTATAATTTTTCACAATTTATTGCAATAATATTGGTATGGATTGATTCCTCTCACTCTCTAGTATCCAAATATATAAAAATTGTTGTATGGAAATTCCTAAAACCCCCAGATTCTTGGCCCCGATAGGGCTGAAGGAACGATATACACAGAATCAGTCACTATATTGACTAATACAGGAGGCTGTGTACCCTGCAACCCTCCCTTGGGGGCTACTGTCCCTCAACCCCCACCCAGAAAAAAGAATCCTCCACATATTCACAGGAGGAGAGAGCATCAGGTACACATAGCAGGGGTCGGGGAAAGGAAGGGAGAGCGGGAGGAGAGGGGAAGGGTAGGGTAAGGCCGAAGTTGGAAGATGAATATGAGATGGGTGAGAGGTCCCGGAGTCAATGGAAGGCCTAAAAGAGTGGGATATGGAGCTCATTGATATGGATGAAAGTCTGGTGTGAGGATTTATTGGGGTTGAGTGCTTGGTTATATGGTGATGTGGGTAGTGTTTATGGTGTGTGGACAGAGTTTGGAGGAAGAGCATATTGTAAGGGAGGGCTGTTTATGTCGTGTGAATGGATTGTGTTGAAGGAGTTGGAGCGTGTGATGGGAGAAGATGTGAAAAATAAGCTTGAGAAATTAGGTAGGCCACATCCGTCACAGATCCAAGTAATGCTATTGTTAACTAATCCAGCGTATAATTGTGTCAAGAAGTCGATGCAGCTGACATGGTACCAGCCAGCGTGTTCAGACCTTTCATGACAGTTATCGCACTGGATGGCCCTCTGGCCCCATTTAACGGCCCTCGTGCAGATCGTGCATGGGTACCTGGGATGGTAAGGGCCAGGGTTAACGTTAACACAGGTATCACCACAGAGGAGCAGCGGAAGAAGGATGGTGTCCCTGGAGTGTTTATTTGTCAGGTTGTAATGTGTATTGGGGTACAATAGGTCTGGGAGGGAGTGAAGCAGGTCAGTGCTTGTTTGTGGTGTTTAAGTTCTATGTTGATTTGTGGATGTCTGCATATGTTTGAGGATTTGTGCATGAAATGTAAGATGAGTGTTAATGTAAGTGTAAGAAAGGTAATGTGTAAAAGTACATGGCATCTATTATTGTTTTCTCATACCTTTCTTGAGTCTGAGTGAGTTACATGTAGTGTTGTCAGCCTAGAGCGAACTGTCAAGTAGCTGGTCATGGCTAGGAACAGGCCTGTTTATAAATGTGTAAGTGATAATGTATAAAAGTCAATATTGGTTAAAAAGAGGAGGTGAAATACTAAAAACATACTTGAGTGGTTACTCTTTTACCTGTGGCATATAGGCCTACCCCACCCAAACATGTGTGTGGTATTAAGACTCTTTACTTCCCCTTTGTAATGTTATTATCTCTTTTTTTCTTTTTCTGTAAAAAGAATAATTTTCTTCTTTTTTTGCCATTTTCCAAGGTCTATATTTATCATTTGATATGTTGTATCAAAATGGTAATAGCATATTTTCCTTGCATGGACTCCATATGAATTCTGTAGATAGTG